GAAGTCCTGGCTGGCAGACCTGGGAGGGTCTGGGCCTTTAGAGAGGTGCCCAGCTGGGCAGGAGGGGCACTGGGGCAGCCAGGTGTGGCCAGCCAGTTTCCAGATCGGAGCACCAAGCCGGCTCCTTGCCCCCCGCCCTGATGGGCTGCACCAGATGTGGAAATGCCCTGGACAGAAGGGCTGCCGCCTGGCCGGGGGTCCCTTCCTGGACCTGTTGTCAGCTCCGGAAACAGTGGCGGCTCGGGGTTGCAGCCCAGCACGCTTTGTTTGGGAAGGAAAGGGAGGGCAAGATCTAGAGGTCATGACCCGTGGGGTTCTTACGCGGGCTGCCCACACATGCACGCCTCACTGCGTGGATCGGGGAGGGGCTTTGGGGCCCAGTTGCCTTCCCAGCGAGTGCCAGAGCTCCCTTTGTGGAGACAGGTGATGGGGACTCAGAGAGGGCCTCGTATGGCTGAGGTCCTGGGGTCCGATGGCGTGGTCTCTGAACTGGGAGCAGGACCGCCCCCCCGCTCGCTGTCCCAGGGTGGCCTTGCCTGGCGGGGAGGTTTGATCAGCTGTTCTTTCCCATGGGCAGTGGCTTGGCTGGCTGGAGCTGGGAGACTTCTCTCCTTCAGTGACGGGGAACGGGGAGTCCCCGGTGAAGTCCCTCAGGCCTCACATGCAGGAGAAAATGGAAAGATTACTTAAAGCAACTCAGAGACCCCAGAAACAAAATAAAGAACAAAGTTATGATTTGTAAGTAGCGGGGAGGCTCCCTAAAACCCAGGCGCCTGATGGGTAGGCTGTGCTTGATGCTAAATTGAATCAAATGAAGAAAAACATTTTCCAAATGCAAGTAAAGTATCTGTTTAATTAGACCATAAAGAGAAAATTAAAAGTCATATTTTGCAGTGGAGTAATTACTGTCTTCCTCAAGGCACCAAGGCTGTGCCTCAAGGCACCAAGGCTGTGGAGGCCTGGGTGACAGGCAGTCCTGCTGTCTGGGGCTTTTAGGAGTTCAGATTCCTGAAATTGGGGCAGTAACCCGTTGAGGGCTTGGGCCAGAGGACCTCTTGAGCTGCCGGGATGGCTGGGAGAGGAGGCCTGGCCCCACTGCCCGGCCTGTGCAGAGGTCGGAAGGTGCAGGAAGTGGCCACAGCGCAGGATTTGTTGTTGTTGGCGGCGGGGGCTGTGCGGGCGGGGAGGGGGAGGGGCAGGGCTGCAGGGCTGGGCGGCCTTTGTCTCTCTGAAGGCTGCGTCTGGAGTCTGCTGTGCGGGGAGCAGTCAGTGGTGTGGGAGACCCTCGCCTTCGCCTTCTGGGGCCCAAGATGCCCATCTCTGGGAGCCACCTGTGTCAGCAGTGGCCTCCCTGAGCCCCTCCCTGGAGCCCTGAGTGCTGGCCCAGTTTGCTGGGTGGGGCGCTGACTTCTCCTCCTGTCGTAGCCGGACAGTGTGCTGGGCCCCAGGCTGGTCTCGCAAATGGGAGGTCTCGGGTCCCCTGGGCTGGGCTGTGTGGCTTTGAGTGGCCCCGGCAAGCAGCCCTGTGGTTCTGTTTCTGCCCGAGCAGCCTGTGCCCTGGCCCCTGTGCTGTGCCAGCCTGGTGCAGCCTGGCTGGTGTGATGGCTCAGTGGTGGGGGTGATGGCGCCCGGTCCCATTCAGCGTCTTGCTGTCTTGCGCTAGGCCAGTCTTGCGTGAGTGACTAGGGTTGGAGAGATGGCCCCTGCCCTGTGCCTGTTCAGGGGCTTGAATTCCTGGGGCCTTGGGTGGGCCTCTCACTGCCCCCCATGGAGCCCGCTGGGTCAGGGTTGGGTGGTGAGAGTCCCTGAGAGGAGGACCTGGTGGCCCGTCCTGGGGAGGGATGCGTGGCCCACTCAGGGCTTTCGCCGTGGGGCCCGGCCTCCAGGATGCTGCATGGCACCTGGGCTGCTGGGGGAAGGTACCTTGGCCCAGATGCCAGGGCCGCCGCTGTTGCTGAGCAGGTGACCGGCAGCCTCGGCTTCTCCCCAGTGGGGGCTTCAGCTTGATGGGCCCCCCTCCAGCACAGGCCCCCAAACACCTGGGACTTGGATGCCCGGAGCTCTGAGGCCTGGATAGGTCTGGGGCCTCCCTGGCAGCTGCTGTCTGAATTCCTGATGGCGAAGCCGGGTGGGGGCTTGGGCGGGGGGCACTGGGCGGGGGCCGCTCTGGCTTCCTGTCCCCTTTTCCCTGCCGCCCCTCTGCCTGGCCAGCCCGTGGTGGGCGGTGCATTCTCATGTCGGTCGGGGCTTCCTCCCTCCCCTGCCCTCGCTCTGCTTCCTGCCTCCTGCCGTGCAGCCCGGGAGGGAAGGGCAGGGTGGGCTTCCCAAGGCTGAGGTCGCTGGATGGGCAGAGGCCGCCTGGCCTGTGGAGAAGCTCCAGAACGGGGGGCTGGGGGCCGGGCTGAGGGCCGGGCCGCTTGTCAGGTTGGGTTAATGGCTCCAGCAGGCGGGGACTTCCTTCCCCTTCACTCCGGCCACCAGGGCAGCCTCCTGCTGAGTGGAAAATCAGCATAATCTGAGCCCGACTGGAAAACAGACCCTGTCTGCCCTCAGCTTGTGGCTGGGACTGAGGCCAGGGGCTGGTTCTGGGTCCCACATGTAGACCTGTGTGCCCGCTGGCTGCGTCAGCAGAGCTAAGCGGGGCTCCTGCAGTCTGCTCTGGTAGGGCCCTCCCCGCCCCCTCCCCCTCCTCCTCCTCCTCCTCTGCAGGGCTCCTTGTGGCTGACCTCAGCGAATCCCCGAAGCAGCAGGAGGGAGGGGCATTGGCTAATCGGGACCAGACGCGCCAGGCACTTCAGAGGCTCTGCAGGCCCCTGGCTGGAGGAAATCCAGGCCTCTGGAGTGGCCCATAAATCAGGCATCTGGGCCTGGTGGGGGTCGCCCTTTCATGCGACCTGGTCTGCCTGGGACTGTGGGGAGTGTGAGGTGGTCCTGGGGGAGCATGATTGCCGCACATGCTTGGCTGACACCGGCCACCCTGGACCACAACTGTCACCACGGTGAACCTCCAAGGCGTCTGTGGACGCAAGCGCCCAGCCAGCCAAGGACAGGCTCAAGGAATGTGGGTGGGGTGAATGAGACACCCTTTCCCCGGTATGATGGGCCTCAGCTCCCTCATCTGAGAAATGGGCACATTTGAGAAGGCCGCAGTGCCTTCTGTGGCCAACAGAGTGGCTGCATTGGAGTCTCGTCTTGCCTGGAATCCCTTGGGGCAATGTGGCCAGCCATTGAGCCAGGGACTGCCTGGGGCCAGGTGGGGTGGGGAGGCCTAGGTTGCGGGTGGTGGGGAAGTTGGGGGCTGGTGGAGGACCCCTGTCGGGTGGTGTTCGGAAAGCCCTGGGTGGTCACAGCCATAGCAGGGCTGGGCTGGTGCTGTCCGGGGGGCTGCCCAGGCTGGGTGCCCTACAGCTGGAACACCCCTTGGGGAGGGGGTGTAGACGCAGAGGGCCTGGCCCCCTCCACAGAGAGCAGGACAGACACTGGTCCTGGCTCTGGCCCTGACTGTTGCAGAGCGGTCCCAGGGAGGGGCAAGGCCAGGGCCTGGTGGGGTGGCGAGGGACACGGGTGGGCCCCGGGAGGAGTGAGCCTCTTGGTCAATTCTCTCCCGGTGAGCTTTGCTCTGTGGCTTGTCTCCTTCTTGCTCCTCCTCCTCCTTCTGGAAGACGTCACTGCCTCCAGGAAGCCCTCCCTGAATTTGAGGCTGGGTGAGGAGCATCCTCTGGGTTCTCCTGGGTCTTGCTTTTAGCCGTTTCTAAAACCCAGTCTCATGGCCGGAGAAACCTGTGTGTCCCACCAGTTCAGGGAAGGGGACAGTCACCAAACAGGGTGCAGCCCAGTGCACAGCTCAGGCCCTGGGGGCAGCTGGAGTGTGTGGCGGGGGGCGGGGCCCTGGGTTGTACCCAATCCTGCGGCCCTTGCGCCCCTGCACTGAGCTCATGTGCCCTCTAGGAGTGTCTCCGCGGGTGGCCTTGGCTTCTGTTGACACCGTTACAGCAGCACTGGTTTGATTTTCCACCTGCCCCACTGGGGCTGGAGACCTGGAGAGGAAGGGGGAGGGTCTCCTGCCCCCCCGCTCCGCCTTGAGTGAGTGTGAGTGAGGGAGGCCCTCGTGGCTCTGGAAGAGACGTTGCTTTTAAGGGGCCCTGCTTCTCGCCAGTGTCCTGCGTGTCCCCGGCCAGGCGGCCTTAGCTGACAGTGGTCTGGTTGTCCAGGAGCCACAGACCTTCCTTGTTAGCCGCAGGCCGGGGTGGTTAATGACGGCTGGGGAAGGTGGGCAGTTAACAAGGACACTGCGAGCCTCACGGTGAAGCCCGATAATTATTTTCCTGCTGGGCTCGTGTGGATGAAACTGTTGGGGCTTATTAATCTGTTACGGATGGTGTGGTGGCCAGGCGGGGGCTCGAGGCTTCATGGAGGGCGAGAGTGCTGGTGGGCTCTGGGTGCCGGCCCTCCCTCCCCAGGCGCTGACCCTCCCTCTGTCCCTTGCTGTCCTCAGGATCCTTGCCTCTCCGCCCTGCTTCTTGACAAGCTCCCAGCACCTGGGGCCCTGCCAGCCTGTCGCCCAGAGGCCGAGCGCCGCTGTGACGTCTGCGCCACACACCTGCAGCAGCTCACACGGGAGGCCATGCACCTGCTGCAGGCCCCTGCCAGCCACGAGGACCTCGACGCCCCCCACGGAGGCCCGAACGTCGCACCCCCCAGCACCATGACCAGCTCGAGGGACACGCCAGGACCAGCAGGTCCTGCAGGGAGGCAGCCAGGCCGAGCAGGGCCAGACAGGACCAAGGGGCTGGCCTGGCCCCCCGGGCCCAGTGTCCAGGTGTCTGTGGCACCTGCGGGTCTTGGAGGGGCGCTGAGCACGGTCACCATCCAGGCTCAGCAGTGCCTGGAGGGCATGTGGAGCGTCTCGCGGGTCAACAGCTTCCTCCCACCGGCGTGCCTGGTGAGTGCCTTTCTCAGCGGATGGGGGCTGCTGGCCTCCTCCCTCAGAACTGGGCTTCCTTCGGGGGTTTCTGTCCACGCTGAGTGCCCTGCAGTAAGGCTTCCCTGAAGGGAGGGACTGCGGGCATGGGGCTTCCCCAGACACTCCTGGGGCCCCACATCAGATGCACCCTCCATGATGCACAGCAGCTGCTCTCAGGTCCCTGCCTGACCTTCTTTGGGAGCACGTGCCCCTCCCTGGCTGTCTTTTGAGACTGGGGCTGAGGGCTCACCAGCGCCCATCACAGGGCTTGACGATGCACAGTGCACCGTACGTAGATCAGGGCTCACCAGGCAGATGGAGTAGGAGGGCCCTTGCGGCAGAGCGAGGGCCCGTGCGGAGGCCTGGGGGTGCGAGGCATCCATGGACGTCGGTGTGTGTGGCTGCGTGGAGAAGCCTCCCTGCATCGCCCGCCCGTGTGGCACCCCGTGGGCGGAGGGATGTGTGGGCTCCCCTGCATCGCCCGCCCCTGTGGCACCCGGGGGGCAGAGGGATGTGTGGGTGGCTGTGAAGAGCCCTGTTTCTGCCTGGCACACTGTCCAGTCACCGCAGAGTGACCAGCACAGGCTTGCCCTTCTCCCTTGGTCTCCAGGCCTGGTGGCATTTCCAAGGGCAGACAGAGGTGCAGAGACCCCGTAGTCTCTGGGGCAACATTGGCCGCTGATCCTGAGGCCAGCCAGACCCTGCCCTTGCCTTCTGGGCTTTCGGCCTCCCTGTGACTGGTGAGGTGGCCTGTCTGGACATCAAGATCCTGCCCCAGCTGGGGGCTGGCCTTGGCTCTAGCTGCCTTGGCACTGGCTGCTGGGCTGCCCTAGGGGTCGAGGTGCACAGAGGCCCATGGGAGGAACTTCTGGACACCCCCTGAGTCCCAGCTGGTGTGGTGATTCCCCGGTGGCCTCGGGACCCACACCCTTTCACCTATGAACTCCCTGGTGAGGCCAAGAGGAGGGAGCCCTACCCTTGCCATGAGGTGCCTCCTGGCCCCAGGGCTGGGCATCCTGGAAGGGGTAGGTGGGGACGGTGCTGGGGGCTGCAGCAGGTGAGCTGGGCAGCATCCTGGAGGAGGTGGCATTGAGCTGGGCGTGTGTGGAAGAATCAGGGGCTGGGCCTGAAACCCAGGATGGTGGGCACAGGTGCCTCCGTCTCCTGCTCTTGTCTCCCTGGGCCACTCGGCCTCACTGCACCCTGTCTGTTGCTGAGGGTCCCAGCGGGTGGGGGTGGAGAAGATTGCAGACCCCTTGCTGGGCAGCCCTGCTGGTGGATGGCGCACTGTGAACGGCAGGCATTTAGGCACCCTCTCTGTGTTATGTGCACATTGATCGTGGCCAGGGTGGGTGGGAATGGATTTATAATTAGACAACAGTCTGGGCAATCAATAGGGAGATTATTAGAACCATAAATAGAACTTTAGGATTCAGATGAGGTAATTTCCCCTGAACCAGGGCATCGATCATTAGCGTGGCCCTGGAATGTTAATGTTGCCTGTTAGACTCTAGAGTTAAATACTTGTGGAGAGATGCGCTGCAAATCTCCACCACAGACCGTCAGCCACCCCTGGGCCGAGTGAGATTGTTCCAAGGCGAACATTGATCTGGGGCGAGCGGGTGGGACAGGGGTGCTGTAGCCCTCTCTGTTACACGATGTGGAGAGGAGGGGCGGGGCCCAGCCATGGCACTTTGGCCTCGGCCGAGGCTTGGCAGGGGATGCTGAATGTGGCTGGGTCTGGCCAGAAGAGGCTGATCCTTAGAGGGGTGGTGGGTGGTCCAGGGCTCCCAGGACCCCCTGCAGCCACAGGTGGGGCCTGGAACATCCCACATCTTGAGCATCCAGAGACTCCTGGGCTATGGAGCCGCCTGGCAGGGCTGTCCGGCGGTTCTTTCCTGGCTGTTGGGCCAGGCCCTGTGCCTGTCCCTGTGCCTGTCCCCCACCCCTCCTGGCCTGAGAGCTCTGGACAGTGGTCATGGGGGCCACCCCAGTGCCCTGTCTGCACCACCAGAGGCTGTCAGGGTCCGGGACACGCTGCGAACCGTGGCGCGTTTCACACTGTGAACCAAGCTGCGAGACCGAGGCTGTGACCTTCAGGGCCCACAGTGGGCTGCAAGCGGCACAGTGGACGCCCACAGAGGGGCGGCCCGGTGGGCAGTGTGGGGTGCTGGAAGTGTTGGCGGTGGCCCAGAGGAGCTGGGGTGCCTCCGTACATGGAGGTTGGGTGGCACCAGCTTGGGGGCTCCTGCCACCCCTGTGCCGGACTGCAGGGGCTCTGGAGGGTGTCCCATGGTCCTCACAGCTGAGACAGGCCAGGCAGGGCCAGACCTTTCAACTCAGGGCTGTCCAGGCCCTAAGGCCCTTTGAGTGACGAGGCTGGAGCTTCTCGTGGGTGGGTGAATCCGCCCCGTGGGGCTCTACAGGGTGGCACACATCCACACCTGTGCAGGGGTGACACTGGCAACGGAGAGTTCAGCTCTGAGCCTCCTTGGCCGCTCCTCAGCCCCTCCTCCTCCCTTTCTCCCCCGACTTTTCAGCACAGAATAGCACCCAGTGAAGCATTTATCTGGGGGGCTGGTGTCTTTCGCGGGCCAAAACCTTACAGATGCGTTTAGGCTTGGAGGGCTCCTGAGAAGGGGGTTAGCTTGGCGTTTCCTAAACTGTGTTCCATGGAACCCTGGTGTTCCCGAGGTCGCAGGTGCTCTCTGCTGGCCGCCTGGTGCCTGCTGTGGTTAGGAAGCTCCCACTGGGGTGGGTCCCGTGCGGCTATGCTTGGGGCCCTTGGCTCTGCGCCCCTCGGCCTGACGCTCCCCTCTCTCCTGCCTTTCCTTCCGCTGCTGCTGTGGCGCCTCCATCACACGTTCTGTTTGGCCGCCCGCCCCCCCTCTCTTCTGCCCCCGTGTTGTGGTCTTCCCTCTCGCCGTCCTCCCCCGCCCCCGGCTCTCGCTTTGCCAGACGGCTTCTTTTGGCATGCCCGGGCTCTGCTTCCGGCAGGAATTGGCAGTGGCCGTCCCGGCGGATGGGGCGGTGTCCCGGCAGCGCGTGGGACGGTGGAGCCGAGGCGCGTGCCGGACTCCTGAGACAGGTCAGTGTGGGGAGGCCCAGCTGGCCGCAGGCCTGCACCGTTGCTGGGCGGGGCCGGAGCCTTCTGGCCGGAGGTGGAGAGGCCGGCTTGAGATGGGGGAGGGCTCGGGCCCTGTGGGAAGAGGGCGGAGGAGCCGGGTGGGCTGTGGTGTAGCAGCTCTGTCCCTGTTGTGGCCCCTCCAGCCTCAGTGCCCCTGTCCAGTGGGGGAAGCAGGGTATCCTGGTGCCTCACTGGACACTGTGATTGGGCCTGGCCCAGGATGCCAAATGTGGCCCCACGGTGGTGCCATCGCGACCAGCCACCTGTGGGTGCCGCGCTAGCTGTGGGTGGTACGACCCCGACCCTGGCCCCCAGGAGAACTGGCCCTGGGTGCTGACTGCCATGCCCAGGTGTGCTCAGCCAGACCCAGCTCTGCTTGGGGGACTCAGGAGCTGCTGTTAACATTGTAACTTTAAAGATAACTGTTTCCTGTCTGCTTAGCAAGGGAGTTTAGGCCTTTGATAAGGAACACACACATTAAGTGATGACATAGAATTCACATTTGAGGGGAGGGGGTGGCTTGGAGAAGGAGAGGGCTGGCTGGGCTGGGTTCAGAGGGATGTATAGGAGTTCCTGGCCGGCAGGCTGGTAGTGGGGTGTGGTGTGCTGGCACAGTGTCTAGTGAGCTGTTCCAGGTCCCAGGTTCGCCCTTTTCTGCTACTGGGCAGTCCTTCTGGAAGCCCCGGAGGAGTGGCTGGTGCCTAGGGCCTGGGAGGGCACCCAGCTTCCATCCAGCCTAAGTCTTGGGGCTCTCTATGAACTTCCTTTCGCAGACTTGGTTCTGTTGCAGGTCCCGGGAGGGGCCTGGAAGCTGGTGCCGGCCATGGGTTGGGCAGAGTGAGCCCCTCCATGGTAGTGAGGAAGGAGACTGTCTGGGACGACAGGGCCTCTGTCTGGAGTGTCCCTCCCAGGTCCTGGAGTGACTTGTTCTGCTGATGTGCCATGCCTGGCCTCTGACCTGTGCCACTTGGGACACCCTGAGGATGCTGGGCCCTCCAGACCAGCCCACGTCCCCTCAGCATGGGGACCCCAGTCCTCTGCCAGCCTGGGCACAAAGGACACCTCGGGCAGTGGTTATTGATTGGACACTTGGGGCCGAATGACGGTTGGCACCCGGGTGACTGTGACCTGACCAGGCCATGGTGCTTAAGGGGGTCCTTGGAGAGCTTGGGGCAGTGGGCCCTTGGGGCGGGTGGCCGGGGCGAGGGGTGGCCAGGCTGAAGCAGGCTGCCTTACCTGCCCTGCCTGAGGTTGCATCCCCCCACGCAGCCCAGGGCCAGGTTTGGCCTGAGGGTCCCACGTGTCTGGGAACGGAACGTGTGGAGGTGGAGCTCGTGTTTGCTGGGCTGTCCCGGACGTTTAATTACGTTTGTGCTTCATTATGAGGCGGCCTCCCTTTCTGGGATTTATTTGAGCTAATGAGTTGGAAATGCCAGGGTAGTATTTCAGATGAGGGAGCGCCATACATCACCATACGTGGGGCAATTAGTGCTCCTGCCAAATAGTTATTGTGGTTTCTTCTCGAATTATGCCGCTGGGTGCTCCCGGGTGGCTCAGGGGTGAGAGGGTGGGGGGTCTGTGTCCATCGGTCTTGACCAGTGTGGTCACTGCGATTCTGGAGCTTGATGGGGGAGAGGCAGAAAGTCTGGCTCCTGGGCCACCGTCTGCCTCCCTCTCTGCCTCCAAGGAGTCCTGCTGGGGCAGAGCACCCACACACCCCGAGCCGGGGCTGTGACCTCAGGGCCCAGGCAGGCCTTCCGCACTGGCCCTGTCTCCCAGCTCTGATTTCTGGGGCCTTCCCGGCTTCACAGGCTGGGCCCTGGGGGTGCAGAGCCTCCAGGAATGTGCTGGGCTCTGGGGTACCCAGGCCTGTCTCTTCCACTCCAGGTGCCAGGGGCGGTGGTATCTCTGCCCTTGGGTTCCTCATACGCACTCTCTCCTTCCCTCCAGGCCGAGGCAGCGGTGGCGGCCGTGGCGGTGGCAGACACGGTCCGAGAAGGCCCCCCCGTGGCGGGCCCTGATGGTTTGTCGAAGGCCTGGGGCCGTGGTGGGGCCTGCACATCTGCTCTGGTCACCCCCACCCCAGGCTCGGTGGGGGGCTCCACAGGCCCCTCAGCTGCAGCCTCCTTCTTCATAAGGTATGTCCTGGGGTTTCCTGGGTAGCCTCATGGGCGGGGCCCCATGGCCCCGGCTCTGAGCCCCTGGGGACCTGTGGGCCGTTCCTGGGGGACGTCGGGCGTGCTTGCTGCCAAGATGAGTGGATGGGGAGCTGCACAGAATGCAACTGCTGAGCTGCTCGCAGCCTGCCGGCCTCTTGGGCCCCATGCCAGGACAGCACTTGTCCTGTGGGTGTCAAGAGAAATGTTGGGGGCATCTCACCCTTGGGGGAGCACTGCCAAGGAGGGGCTTTGTGGCCAGGACCCTGCCTGAGTTGGAGCCTGGTCCCTGCCTTTTCTGAGCTGTGCAATCTTGGGCAAATCACCTAATCTCTCTGTGCCTGGGTTTCCTCCCATCAGCTGGGCTCTTCCTCATAGAGTCGCTGTGACTGCAGCAAGAAAATGTGTGTGAAGCCCGGAGAATGTGGCTGGCCCAGAGTGGGGCAGCTCAGCTGTGGACACTGGGGGCTGCTCGGGGCAGGTGCAGGCTGGGGCCACAGAGATGACAAGGCCGGTCTTCAGGGCAGCACGAGGGGAGGGGCAGCAGGGGCTTGAGTGGGTGCCCACAGTGCCAGTCGGGCTTTTGGTTGGCAGGTCCGGCTCCACCAGGGCATCCCCCATTGGGGGACTGTGTCTGACATCACTTGGTTCCTTTCCCAGGCCGTGAGCTCAGGTGCCTGGTTTCTCTGTGCTCCCCCTCTGCTGACCCCCACCACTGCCAGAATGCCAAGCCTGAGGCCCCACAGGCACCAGGTCCTCGACCGACTGCTGTTGTGGATGTGGTGGGCCAGGCAGAGGGAACAGGGGAGCAGAGGTGGGGAGGGGGAGTCGGCATGGAGGGGCATGGCGTGGAGCTTCCACTGGGCCCTTCCCGGCAGGGCGTTTGGTCCTGGGGAGCCGTGGCAGAGCCCTCTCTTATCCTTGGGTGTAAGGATGCGGATCACAGGATGTAATTGCCATAATGCCTGGTAATGGCAGGCCCAGCCGCGGGTCACTGTCCCATTAGCAGCCCCGCGCGGGTGCTGATAAGCTTGAACATGCATCACACCCGACGACCAGAGACGAGGGCGTCTTATCAGCGCCGGCCCGGGGGACTGTGCGGTCTGATTGCAGAGTGACGGGGCATATGATTAGCGCATTGTCGCACGCCGTGCGCCGGGCTGAGGGCTGATGAGCACACCACCGCATTGGAGCCCAGCCAGGCCGCGCACGTGACGAGTGTGGCCTCAGCGCCACCCCAATTAGGCGCCGAGAGCATGGCGGGTGGGGACCCTGGTGGGAGCAGATGGGGGTCCTGCCCAGCTTGCTCTGGGGTCCCCCGTGTGTGTGCCAGCTCACCCCGTCACAACCCGCCTAGTCCTGAATTAAAGGGCCTGTGCGGCCGGACTGGGCACGGGCCTGTGGCCATGCTCCTTTGGGTCCTGTTTGGCAGGAGGATTTGAAACGTGGAGACTTCCAGAAAAGGAAGCTGCAGTGCTCAGAGCTCCCCCCATCCTTGATGCTAAGCCCCCTGGTGCCCAAGGAGAGTTCCTGACCCTAGGAAGTAGGGGTAGGGTGTCGGCCCCCAGCCTGGCTCGTTGGTGTCCTGGAGTCCAGCAGAGCGGCCCTGGCTGCCTTTTGTTTGGGAACTGAGGCTGGTGCCGCTCCCCAGCCTCGCTGCCTGCTGACCTTGGGAAGTTACCATAGAAACCAGCGCATCAGGCTGGGGACCCAGAGGCGGGTCTCCCGAGGCGGGGGGTGCTGCCGCCGCCATTACTTCCAGCCTATTAGGCACCCTGGGTCTCAGCGGCTCCTGCCAGGCCACTGCAGGTGGCAGGCCGTGGGTCAGGTTGTGGTGGCGGACGTCCTGGCAGGTGGGCCCCGTCGGTGGGTGCCTGACGTGGGCTGGGGTCAGTGGTGGGTGACCCACAACTGGGTGACTCCAGTGGGACTGCAGTACCCTGAGCTCTCGGGGTGAGATCAGAGGGAGTGTCTGCTCCTGGGTTTTGTGGATGTGGGCGTGGCTCTGAGTGGGGATGAGTCCGCTAGGAGACAGTGGAGCTTCAGCCCCCACCCCAGGGTTCTTGGGCACGTGCTGAGGGTACCTTCTGTGTTCCCACCTCCACCCTTGCGGAAGACCCGGGAGGGGGTGGCACTGACTCCAGCCCCTGCTCTGCCCTTGGGAAGTTTCCAGTCTGGAGGGACGAGGGGCACCTCTGTGGAGGCAGCCTTAGATGGCAGCATGGGACCCGTGCAGCAGCCGGGGCAGAGTGGTCTCTCAGGGAGCGGGCTTTGAGGGTTAAGTAGGAGTCTGGCAGGCAGCATTGCCAAGTGGGGACAGAATGGGGTAGAGGTCAGGAGTTTGGGTTTTTGAATCTTGTGGGCCTAGGGAGTCTCAACTCTGCTGCTGCCCACAAGCGCCCCAACCCTGGCTAGGACACCAGCCTCAGGCTGCCCCCGATCCTTCCAATGGCCTCTGGACTCCTCATGTCCACACTGGGAAGCTGGGATGTGCAGTGATCCCATGGGTGCCAGGGTGCCTGGGTTTCGTTAATGCTAACAGGGGCATAGATAGAGCAGGGGCTGAGCCCCGTGCCCTTACCCCGTGGGTGGGGCCTGGGGGAGCTGCAGGGACTGAGGCCGCGCAGCTGTGATAGAGCTTGGCATGCTGGCCCAGTAAGTGTTCAGAAAGGTGGGGTGCGTGGACCGGGTGGCCCCCAGGGTTAGGAGTTTTCCGAAGGCTACGGTGACCCCCGAAGGCTCTGGCAACTCTGATGATACTGTCTGCGGCCCCGCTGGTTTGTGCTGGCACTGGGAGCCTCTGCAGTGCCTCCTCTGAGGTACTTCCACCATCACACTCTCACCTGCTCGCTGCCATGCTGGTACGGGGGTCCCCTCCAAGACCCCAAATCAAATGTCTTCGAAAAAACTGCTAAAGGAGTTTGCTTCCCTCTGGTGGGGGGCACCTCATGGCACACGCAGGTACCCAAACCCCCCATCCCTCACCCCATTGTGGCCTCAGCAGAGCCCCCCGGTGTCTGCCTGGATGCCCAGGCCCATGGATGGTCAGGCTGGCACCCAGCAGAAGTACAGTGCCTAGCGGGGGCGGTGCACTCCCCAGAGGCTTAGCTGGGGACCCACATGGAAGGCACTGTCTGGGGAGATGCCCCCCCACCTGTCTTCTGGCCTGTGGCTGAAAATCCAGGACACAGGAAGTGCAGGCCACAGCAGGGCTGGGAGTTGGAGAGGCTGATGCCTCAGTTCCTGGCCTCAGGCCCCAGCTGCCTCCAGCTGGGGTCCAGGGTCCCCTTCGCAGGTCTGCAGGACCCAGCTGGGGTCCCCCGATGCCTGCCCTGGTTCCTTGGTGAGGCAGGTCTGGCAGGTGGCAGGTGTCCCTGGGGTGAGGTGGAGTAGGGAGGGTGGGGCTTAGTCCAGCAGCCCCACACGGCCCAGTGTGGAATCTCTGGGTTGGCCATAACTGATTCTTGCACGCGACAGAACAGGCTCGTGTGTCTCCTTGGGGTAATTAAGGGCCTCGCCATCAAGACCAACTGCCTGTGAAATTACCCTCTTGTTTGGAAGAGGTGATTTTTCTCTGTAAAAAGGGAAATATTTCCCTTTCTGTTGATGTGAATCGATGGCCAGGGCCAGTGAGCTCAGGCAAGGCTGTGGGATTGCAGCAGGACACCCGGTGGCTCTGGGGGCCGCTCAGGAGCCTGCTCTCTGGTTCATCCTCAATCACGCATATTCTGAGGTCTTCTGTGAGCATCTGCCCCAGACCCCCTGCTGGGAGGGACACAGCTGTGTAAACTGGTGTCTCACGGCAGGGGGTAGTTTCTATAGAAGCAGGAGGTGCAGGGGCTGGGGACGCCCATCTCAGGGCATCAGGGCAGGCTTCCTGGAGGAGGTGGCTTGTGAAGATGGGGGCTGTTTATGCAGGTGAAGTTCCTGCTTTTCTGAGTCTTCCCTTCAGAGTCAAACCCCTCAGACTTGCGCACTGAGGGCTGCTGCTCCCTGGCAGTGTTGGGTGTGGGTGGTGTCTGCCGTAGCCTGGGGGAGACAGCCCCCACTGCTCAGAAAGTAAGTTCGTGCTGGCGGCCCTCAAGGGCTGTTGAACCCAGGCATGGTAGCCAGGTGGGGCTGCTGTGTCTGACGGGTGTTTCCATGGGGACCTGAATTTCATCAAAGGAGAATGCCCGTTCTGGGGCCTCGTTAACGCAGTGACAGGCCTTTGAGTCATACCAGGGAGGTAACCCCGTAAAAGCAGGCACTGGGAGGGCCCAGGGCTGGGGTGCAGCGTATTGGCGATGGGCCCCAGGAGGAGGGGGCGCCTCAAGTTAGGTCAGATTGTGGGGTGGAGATGTGCGGCAAACAACCTTCCAGACTTCCAGGGCTGGTGGAACCGCAGAAGACGCCGGGTCCCAGCCTCTGTCTAGGCGGCCTGGGCCCTGGGTGTGCTTGCTGTGGCCCAGGCACACCTGAGGTCTGTGCTGGAGGCGCCGGCTCCTGGGAGGGTCACTGGAAGGGCAGAGCCCTTGTGGCCTTTCGCATGGCCGATGGAGCAAAGCACCAGCCTGGTTTTGGCCTCTGCAGACCTAAGGCTCCAGCCCCAGTATCCCTCTGGCCTCTCCAAGTGCTGCTGCAGTCTCCGGTGCTCCGTGTCCCCTGGAGGCTTGGGGGTGTGGGTGCCGATGCCCTACTTCCCACAGCCTTGGGTCAGAGCTGGTACCCTGACCCCACCCAGCCTAGGGAGGGGCTGCAGGGGAGGTTTGAGGAGCTGGCTCTGGGTGGGCGTGACCTCTGCCCGTCCACTTGAGGCCGAGCCAACGCCCTCCAGTGAGGGCCTGTGCTGGGTGTCCCCCTACATCCATTTCCAGAGGAGTAAAGGGGTGCAGGGAGTCTCCCTGTCCCTTATAGGGGCCACCGTGGGGACCATCCTCAGTCCCGCCTGTCCAGGCAGGCTGGGGGGCTTCCCACCTGCACCTCAGGGCCCTACCCTTCCTCCCTCCATGCCCTGAGAAACCTGGGGTCCCAGCCTTGGGGCAGCACCAGGCAGCGGGGTGGGGCAGCCCTGTCCCTGTCCTGCCTGCTAGATGTAGATGTTTTCCAGAGCAGGGCTGCAGCTTCTTCCCTTGTGGGCGGCTGGCTGGAAGCTGAGGTGTAACCCAGGGTTGTGGGGTGGGGGGTCTGGAACAGGAGGCTGAGGCTGGGGTGGTGGGTGGGCAGGAAGAACCCCAGAGCAGACAATGGTGAAATCCAAGCCTTCTCCCACCCAGGCCCCTACACGCGCAGATGCAGCCCTGCCTGCCTGCCTCTGGCCTTGCCCGGGCCCCTGCCCAGTCTCTCTGCCCCTCTGGGGGCTCACTTTGAGGTTTGGGTTGTGGCTCTGTCCTCTGCACTTCCCAGCGTTCCCCTCTGCCCGGGCTTCTTGCCCTGTGGACAGACGCACAGGCGCACAGACACACAGACAGCGCGGGCAACTGTGTCGGCCTCCACCCTGTCCCTGATCTGCGGTGTGAGTGATCTTTGGGTGAGGAGGGGACAAGGGCCTCTTCCTTGCAGGGCAGTTGTGAGGTTTACAGAGATGAGGCTTAGGCACGGTGTGGGGTACATACTGGCGATGCCAGGTGAAATCCAGGGGTCTCAGGCACACAGGCCTGGGCCCCAGGACGCAGGTGCCGTTGCTACCTCCAGCTGTGGGTCCCCGCGGCGGCGGGCTTCCCACACCTGGAACGACCAGGGCTTCTGGGTAGCCCTGGGTTTGGTTCCTGGGATTCTTACTCCTGGCACCGCCCCCCCCCCCCACAAAGCTCCATGTCTTGCCTGGGTGGCTGCAGGCACCGCCTGCCACCGCCCTGTTAAGGACTCCACCATGTGTCGTAGATTACTTTTATTTTCCATGATGACACCTCACTAGGAGGAACGCCGTCCCTGGGGTCTCTTAAAAGACAGCTCCTATTCAAGATGAAAGAAGTTAAGCAAAACGCCGGCGCTGCAGCCGCCGCAGTGGGGGCCGCGAGAGGCTGGGCCTGGCTCTGGGGTGCAGGTCCTTCCACACTGCGGTCAGTTTTAGGGAGTCAAGATAGACTTGAGAGACTGAGGGCTGTGGGCGGCGTGGGGCACGTTAGGGGACAGAGGAGCCCAAGGTGGGTCAGGAGAGCACCAGTGGGCAGCGTTCACCACACCCTTCGCCGGGTGGCATCCTGGCCTCTGGCCCGCATGGGACCACTCCTTTTGGGACACCCAGTGTGTGTGTTCGTGCACCCCTGCGGCGTCCTGGTGTCCCTGTGTTGGTGGGTCCACAAGCCGGGGTAGGGGCTCTGGGTGCCTGCAGCAGAAAATGTGCTGGGAGGGTGTGGGGCCCTGCAGGGGTGGGGTGGGTGGGCCACAGAGAAGCCATGCCAGGGAATGAGTGGGTGTGGCCCCGTGACCTGACCTGGGGACACATCCCCAGCAGCAGGGTTAGCGCAGCCAAGGCTCAGGCGCAGCGGGCCTGCACTCTGTGTGTGTGTGTGTCTGCATGTGTGTGTGTCTGTGTGTTTGTGCACCTGTGTATGTATGTCTGTGTGTGTCTGCATGTGTGTGTGCGCATCTGTGTATGTGTGTGTCTGCGTGTGTGTCTGTGTGTTTGTGCATCTGTGTGTGTATGTGTGTGTGTGTGTCTGCATGTGTATGTCTGTGTGTGTGCATCGCTGTGTGTGTGGGTGTACGTGTGCATGTCTGCGTGTGTATGTGTGTGTGCATCTGTGTGTGTGTATGAGTGTATTTGCGTGTCTGTGTGTGCGTGTCTGCGTATGTCTGTGTGTGTATGTCTGCATGTGTGCATCTGTATGTGTGTGTGGGGGGTGTGTGCGTGTTTATGTCTGTGTGTTTGTGCATCTGTATGTGTATGTGTGTGGGTGTGTGTGTGCGTGTCTGCGTGTGTGTCTGTGTTTGTACATCTGTGTATGTCTGTGTGTGTGTGTGTGCGTGTCTGTGTGTGTGCATGTCTGTGTGTCTGTGTGTCTGTATGTGTGCGTGTCTGTGTGTGTGTGTGCATTTCTGTGTGTGTGTGTGTGTGCATTTCTGTGTGTGTGTCTGCATTTTTCTGTGTTTCTCCGTATCCTTGTCTCTGTGTGAGTATGTGTGTGTCTCTAGAGTGTCTGTGTGCCTGTGTCTCTCTGTATGTGTCTCTATATGTCTTTATGTGTCTCTGTCTCTGTGTGTCTCTGTGTTTCTGTATGCATGTGTGTATGTGTGTGTCTCTGTGTTTCTGTATGCATGTGTGTATGTGTGTGTCTCTGTGTTTCTGTATGCATGTGTATGTGTGTGTCTCTGTGTTTCTGTATGCATGTGTATGTGTGTGTCTCTGTGTTTCTGTATGCATGTGTATGTGTGTGTCTCTGTGTTTCTGTATGCATGTGTATGTGTGTGTCTCTGTGTTTCTGTATGCATGTGTATGTGTGTGTCTCTGTGTTTCTGTATGCATGTGTATGTGTGTGTCTCTGTGTTTCTGTATGCATGTGTGTGTGTGTGTCTCTGTGTTTCTGTATGCATGTGTGTGTGTGTGTCTCTGTGTTTCTGTATGCATGTGTGTGTGTGTGTCTCTGTGTTTCTGTATGCATGTGTGTGTGTGTGTGTCTCTGTGTTTCTGTATGCATGTGTGTATGTGTGTGTCTCTGTGTTTCTGTATGCATGTGTGTATGTGTGTGTCTCTGTGTTTCTGTATGCATGTGTTGTGTGTGTTCTGTGTTTCTGTATGCATGTGTTGTGTGTGTCTCTGTGTTTCTGTATGCATGTGTATGTGTGTGTCTTGTGTTTCTGTATGCATGTGTGTGTGTGTCTTGTGTTTCTGTATGCATGTGTCTGTGGTGTTTCTGTATGCATGTGTGTTTGTGTGTTCTGTTTTTGTATGCATGTGTTGTGTGTTTTGTATGCATGTGTCTGTGTGTTTCTGTATGCATGTGGTGTTTTGTATGTGTGTCTGTGTGTTTCTGTATGCATGTGTGTGTTTTGTATGCTGTGTCTCTGTGTTTCTGTATGCATGTGTTGTGTGTGTTCTGTGTTTCTGTATGCATGTGTGTGTGTGTGTTTCTGTTGCATGTGTTCTGTGTTTTGTATGCATGTGTCTGTGTGTGTTTCCGTATGCATATGTGTGTGTGTGTGTTTCTGTGTTTCTGTATGCATGTGTGTGTTTCTATGGGCTTGTGTGTGTCTGTGTTTCTGTGTGTGTGTGTGTCTGTGTCTCTATGCATGTGTGTGTCTGTGTTTCTGTATGTATGTGTGTGTCTTTGTGTGTTTCTGTATGCATGTGTGTGTGTCTGTGTCTCTGCATGTGTGTGTGTCTATGCATGTGTGTGTCTGTGTCTCTATGCTTGTGTGTCTGTGTGTTTCTGTATGCATGTGTCTGTGTGTTTTTGTATGCATGTGTCTGTGTGTTTCTGTATGCATGTGTCTGTGTGTTTTTGTATGCATGTGTGTCTGTGTGTTTCTGTATGCATGTGTCTGTGTGTTTCTGTATGCATGTGTCTGTGTGTTTTTGTATGCATGTGTCTGTGTGTTTTTGTATGCATGTGTCTGTGTGTTTTTGTATGCATGTGTCTCTGTGTTTTTGTATGCATGTGTGTGTTTCTGGGTGTCTGTGTGTGTCTCTGTAGGGTGTGCATGTCGAGGTCTCCTGGGAGTCCGCCCCAGTGGCTCCCAAGCATGCACTGGAGGGTGTGTTAAACCCAAGTGTCAGCCTCTCCCTGGGAGGTCCTGTGGTCTGGAGGGTTCGGGAGACCGCACCTTCTGGGAGTCCTGCACTGTGGGTGCAGGAATCCCGCAGCCCTGGAGGTGCTGGGGCAAGGCTGAGCCTCAGGGTGGACTGTGGGGTAGGGAGGCGCTCACCCTGGCTGAGGGGCAGGGTGGCAGCGGGGGCACTTCCCAGCAGCCCTGAGTGGCGAAGGGCCACAGGGGCCCAGGAGCGGGGCAGTGGCTCCAGGATGGCTCTAGGGCCTCGGCATACGGCAAGGGGCGAGATAGCCTCACCTGGGGCCTGGGGCGCAGTCATCTTGATGGCAGCATTAATTGAGCCCCTCCTGTATGTGGGCACTGTGCTGGGTGCCCTGAGTGTGTCAGTTCATTAGGGCCACACAGAGGTCTCCATTGTCACCTCATCCCACTTTGGAGATGTAGAAACTGAGGCACAGGCAGGCCAGGTGGATGTGCCCGGGTCACAGCTGTGCATGGCTGCCCACAGTCTGGGCATTGGGTGGGAGCAGCTTTCACTGTCCAACCCCCACGGCAGCTGCAGGTGGGGGATGAGGACACAGCCCGTGGTGGGGGATGAGGGCACAGCCCGTGGTGGGGGATGGCATTCAGTGCAGAGTGCACGGAGGGGCGCTCAGCCTGTGTGGGTCTGGACCCTGTCACAAGCTTGGTCCGAATGCTGGGCAGAGCCCCTGGGGCAAGGACGCCACAGAGGCCCCAGCCTGAACCATCCATTTGCAGGAATGAAGTGCAGGCCTCCCAGCCACATTTTGGGCTGTGTTTCCTGGGATGGTGGCTGATGAGGTCCCCGGGTGGGACCGCCTGGTGACTCGCAGGCGGGTGACAGGAACAGCTGCTGTCACCCACCACTGATCCTGCTTCTGCCTCTCCTCCCCAGGGCTGTGCAGAAGCTCAGCTTGGCCTCCAAGCGGAAGAAGCCCCACCCGCCACCACCTCCAGCCACCCGCGGCGCCTCCACCTACCCCACCGACTTCAGTGGGGTCCTGCAGCTGTGGCCGCCCCCGGCGCCCCCCTGCCTGCTCAGGGCTGCCTCCAAGACCAAGGACAACCCTGGCAGCATCGGGAAGGTAGACGCAGCCCCGAGTTCGGGGCCCTGGGTGGGGAGGCCAGGGGCGTCTGAGAAGATGCAGGAGGGGCGTGGGAGTGGAGGGGCTGCCACTTCCTTCTCTGGGTTGGATAAGAGTGGTCAGTGGGGTGCCATGGGGAGACTGAGGCCCAGGTGGCAGCAGGGCGCCTGGGAGCCTGTGCTGGGCTGGGACTGAGGGGATGGGCGGGGAGTGGCGCGTCCTAGGGGTCCCAGGGGCACGTGCTAGGTTCATCGTGGGGTGGGACAGCCAGGTCACGGGGCTCCCAGGGACTAAGGATTGGGTTTGATTCAGGGAAGCCCCTCACGAAGGCTCCACTGAGACGCGGCCCTGAGGGGGCTGGGGGCAGGAGGGGGCTCTCTGCTCTCCAGAGTCACCGTGTGCAGGCGGGCCCCTGCTGTGGGAGAGGGGGATGTGTGATAGGTTGATTCTGGCGCCGCGCTCCAGATGGGAAGGCTGCAGCCTGTGGAGGGCACAGGGTCTCCATCAGTGATAGGACAGGCTGGCTCCTGGCTGCCCCTGGAGCTCTGAGCCTGGGGCCTGTGGCTTGCTGGTTGTGCCCTCCAAATCTTGGAGAAATACCTGCCCCTGGCCGGATGGTGGCCCTGCCTTCTTCTGGGAGCTGGCAGTGCCTCGTTCATGGGCCCGTGGAGGGTGGGAAGCCAGTCACACAGCTCTGTGTGTGCCCCCTGTGGCTTTTTCCTGCCCCTCTGCCTGCTCTGCAGCCAGCCCCCTCCCGCCAGCACCCCGAAAGCACTGCCTGGCGCCTCCAGGCCCAGAGGAGGCCTTGGAGGCTCTGTGCCCCATGTGGGCCATCAGGCTCCGTGCCCTTCTGGACTCAGTTGGACCACGATTCCCAGGGGTTCAGCTCCCCAGGGGCAGGGTCTGGAGGGGACTCTGTGCCCACGTTGGAGACCCCCTGACAGAAGGCCCCTGTCCCTGGGTCTGGGGCTGCCACAGGCCCCTCCCACTGCCCTAGCTGCCCCGGGTCTAGGGTGCCAGGAGCACCCCCCGCCCCCGCGGTCCTGGTGACAGCCTGCTTGACGTTCACAGCTCTGTAGTCCTGCAGGGGCCTCCACACCTTGGGGCTTTGTTAGAGCTCGGGAGGTGGCAGGCTAGTGGGAGGGTTCTGAACGTGCTGGCTGTGGGGAAGGGCTTTAAGTGACTGTGTGTCCGGCCCTGCCCTCAGTGGTGCAGCTGTCGGGGGGCTCTGCCCGCTGCCCGCCCAGTGATGTAGTGAGCGTTGTACTTGCAGCCCCTGGAATGCTAATTTCAGTGACTTGAGCCCCCCAACCTCTCCAGGCCAGTCCTGGCGTGACCCAGTCCTGACCCTGGGTCCTCCCCACCCTCAACAGTCCCCTTGAGACGGGGCAGGTGGGTGCTGTGGGCCAGGCGGCCGCTGCCTCGGCCGTGTGGGCTGCAGAGCTGGGGAGGACGCCGAGGTCAGGTGTGGGCGGTGGTGGGCAGGCAGCATCCAAGTTCCCCGCCCGGCCTGGGATCGGGGCCCTGGCTCTGGCCTGGGCCTGGCACTCAGCCTGTTTGTGCCATCCGGTTGGGGCAGGGGGCAGAGGAGTCAGCAGCTCCTTCAGGAGTCCGCAGCACTTTTCCCAGGGCCCCGCGTTTCTTAGGGGACAGCTTCTGCCCCACTTCCTCCTGGGGGCAGCCTTGGCCGAGCTTCTCCCTTCTCTCCATGGCAGTCACACCCCCGCCCTGCCCCGGAGCGCTCAGTGCTTCCCCAGCAACAAGGAGCCCTGGGTCACCAGCCTTCCAGCCCCTCCACCCTCCACACCCCCCAGCTTCCCGGGTGTTATTAGCACTAATGTCACATAGTCAGAAATGCCGCCTGAAAGGCGTTTAATATTGTCACAGAAAAGAAGTTAGATTACGTTCAATTTCTGACATTAATGTGCTACTTAAGATAATTCATCACATTGTGGTATTAAAAAGACATCCCTGTCTGGGTGGGTGCTGAGCAGCGCCCCTCCCCCTCGCTGCCTGGGCTACCTCTCCAGAGCTGGAAGCCCTTTTTTAATGCAAAATGTGTTGTTTCCCTACCAGGCAGCTATTCAGTAGGGCTTTGTAATATCTGAACATTTAGGGGAGAGACTTGCTGTGCCTTCTCCTGCAAAGACCCTGTCATTTCCCCGAAGTAATGACAGGGTTCGCTCTCGGCAGACAATGGCCTGGGCTGGGACCAGGGCAGTGTGGGGCAGGCTAGATGGCCGGTGCCCGCACTGTGGGCTGCTCCATCCCCTCCCTGGGGAGGCCCGCACCCTCCCCTCCCTCCTGGTTGTGAGCCGGTTCTGGGATTAATGCCGCTGGCGGAAAGGGCGGCCGGCAGGTGTTGAGAGCCGAACCGTGGGCCTCTCCACGTCACTCCTTCCCGCTAGGAATTCTCTCAAATTTGCAGAACCCATTTGGCTCCTGAAGTGGTGAGGAGTTCACGCTGGAAAAAAAATTGCCAAAAATTACCGGGAAGTGCACGTTTTCGTCTGCTTTGCGGCGGCGTCTGGAAATGAAATAGTTTTGTTCACGTTGTCAGGGGAATCAAAGAATCGATTCTCGCCTAATGGAGCCCAGGTTCTGAGTAGTACAATAGAAAAGTGTTTCTTCACGCTGCTCCCGGGAGAGCGGGCACTCCCGACTCCAGCGGCTTGCATATCAATGTGCCCCGTGCCCAGGGGGAGTAGATGGCGCCTGGTGCGAACTACCCACGGTAAACCAATTTTGCCGGCGTTATGTATGTGTCACTTACAATTAAATCCGTGAAAAATATTGGCTCTGAAATGCGTCTCGGGTAATTTGATTTACGCTGTAGTGGAGAAATCAGAGAGATCAGTGCAGAGTGGACTGTGGTGTCCTCCAGCAGGAAATGGGGCCTGTCTCCGGCCCTGCGTTGGAGCCCTGGTTCAGGGTGGCCCTTGTGTGCGCAGCCTCTGCTGGGTCGGAGCCGCTGCCTCCTGGCATCGAGACACCAGATCCACCTGTGTGGGGCGTCCCTCCTGTGCGTGGGTTTCGGAGTGTTTGCAGTGATTGCTCTGGGCTCTGGTATCCTGGGTCCTGCCCCTCCACGGCATCTGTCCCCTCTCAGGGTGCTGGGGTTGGTGTCAGGATCTTCCGGTGCCCGTGTGGGGCCCAGTTTGGGATCTGTGTGTGTGTGCTTTGGAGACACCATTGCTTCTGCCCAGCACCAGGGCTGCCTGGTTCCCTGCCAGCTCGGGAGGTCAGGCTGGAAGCCCAGCCCCACCCTCAGTCTGCCCCCCGGGCCTCAGTCTCCCCAAGCCTGCAGTGGGGCCGGTGAGACTGAGGCGTCAGAATTTACATCTTCCCTTGGATGGGATCCTTCTTGTCTTGCCCCTCCCCGTTTGCATGCGAATGGGCTTCCCCCTGCTTTCTGCTGACGCTAGTCTGGCAGGCCACAGGGTGCCAGGGTTCGGTTCCCTCAGCTGGCCCAGGTCAGAGGCAGCCATGCCCCTGGATGGCTCCCCTGGCAGCACCAGCCCTCTGCGGCTCTCACTCCTCTGTGGGGCAGTTCATTCCCTTATCTTCCAAGTGCTCCACCTCAGCCTGGGGAGAGCCTGCAGGGGCTGGGCCGGGGGGCTGTGCTCCTCCCTCCTGCCCTTTCCTGGACTGAGCTGCTCTGCAGGACCTGAGCATCCGTCTGTCTTTTCATGGAGGCGCCTGGAGCCTGCCACCCCCTCATTCTCTGTGCCGCACGTTCAGTGCTGACAGGCTGTGCACAGGCCTTGCCTCTCCCTGGCCCTCTCTCACCTTCTCTCTGCTCTGCTGACCTCACATGGGATCTGCTCTCGCCTGGAGCAGGGGCGCGGTGTCCACATTCCTGCGGTGGGGGTGCCAGTGTGAGACCTGGCCCGCTGTCCCCTCCTGAGCTGGGCCCCTCCTGCCCTGTAATTAGTGGCCAGCTGGGCGGAGGCAGCTTCTCAGGTGCCGCCCACCTCTGCCCCAGGTGAAGGTTATGCTTCGGATCTGGCCCGCACAGGGGGCCCAGCGTTCGGCCGAGGCCATGTCCTTCCTGAAGGTGGACCCTCGGAAGAAGCAGGTGATCCTCTATGATCCCACCGCCGGTCCCCCAGGCAGCGCAGGCCCCCGGCGAGCCGCCACTGCTGCAGTTCCCAAGATGTTTGCCTTCGATGCCGTCTTCCCCCAGGACTCCGAGCAGGTACGGGCAGGCGGACTGGGCGTCCTCCTGGGGGTCCGGAGCCGGGCTGCTGGCTCAGCACACGGGTTAGATCTGCGCCTGCTTTTCCGTGCCGGGTGCAGAGGAAGAGTGAGCAAGGGGGGCCCGCTGCCTGCGGTGCCTGCCGGCTTACCTCCCTCATCCACCTGGCCAGCGTGCTTGGGTGTCTCCACCTGCCCCTGCTGAGGCTCCGGGCCAAGTGCACAGGGAAAGGCCTGGTTTTCCGGAGCCCGCCCTCCGGGGAAGTTTTCTGAGCAGCTGTTGAGCTCTGGGCCCTGGGGGCGCCCGGTGCTCCCTGCTCATGCTGAGCGGTGGACCGTGTGGCCGCGTGTGCATCTCTCCACGCGTGGTGGTCTGCCCTCGGCAGCCGGACTTCTGTGCTTTGCGGGTGTGTGTCTGCACGTGTCTGGCCAGTCCCTCCTGCGTGTGTCCTGGGTCCTGTTCTTGTGTGTTCTGTGCTTTCCGTGTGCACATGGGACCTGTCCTTGGTCCCAGGTGTGTGCAGCCCAATCTCCTTGTGGGCTGACGCCTCAGGCCCACAGATGTGGCAGAAGGAAGGGGCCACAGCCCCTGGGCCCTGGCACCTGCCTGATTCTCTGTGCCCCCCCAGGCCGAAGTCTGCTCGGGGACCGTGGCCGACGTGCTCCAGTCGGTGGTCAGCGGGGCTGATGGCTGCATTTTTTCCTTTGGCCACATGAGCCTGGGTAAGTGCCCTTGCCCCACCCTGGATGGGTCCTGCTGGCCACCCCCTCCCATCCTCATTATGGTGGTTGTTGGCAGCTTCTGGTGGGAAAGGAGGCTGGTTCTACACATGGGCAGTGGTGGGCATATGGGGTGAGGGGCTTGTGGAGAGGAAGCTGAACCCCTGCAGAACTAAAAGGCAGAGGGCTTAGGATGGATCCAAAGAGGCCCCTAAGATCTCAGTGCCCCTGGTTGACCCCAGGGACCCCAGGAGCCATAAAGGCTCCTTGCATGGTGTGTGGTGGGGCCTGACGCCTGCGTGGCCCCCAGGCAAGTCGTACACCATGATCGGGAAGGACAGCTCGCCGCAGAGCCTGGGCATCGTGCCCTGCGCCATCTCCTGGCTCTTCAGGCTCATCGAGGAGCGTAGGGAGAGGATGGGCACCCGCTTCTCCGTCCGGGTCTCAGCTGTGGAGGTGTGCGGGCGTGACCAGAGCCTGCGGGACCTGCTGGCCGAGGTGGCCCCTGGCAGCCTCCAGGACGCCCAGTCTCCGGGAGTGTACCTGCGGGAGGACCCCGTGTGTGGGGCACAGGTGCGCCTGCCTACTGTCCCACCCTGGGGGAGGGGGCTGTGCTCGGCCCTGAGCTGCTAAAGACACTGCAGGCTCCGCCTTTCCTGCAGCTCCAGAACCAGAGCGAGCTGCGGGCGCCCACGGCCGAGAAGGCGGCCTTCTACCTGGATGCGGCCCTGGCGGCCCGCAGCACCAGCCGAGCGGGCTGCAGTGAGGACGCCCGACGCAGCTCCCACATGTTGTTCACACTGCACGTCTACCAGTACCGAATGGAGAAGTGCGGCCGGGGAGGAAGTAGGTGCCACGCCCGCACTCCCAGACCCCTGTGGGACGTGTGTCAGCGGAGACCCAGGCACAGGGGCCCGTCATCCAGTGGCCCCTGGGGATGTCCCTAGGGTTGTCCCCTGCTTGGGCCTGGGGTGGGGCTGTGGAGCAGGGTCTGGGGGCCCCTGGCTACACCATCATTTGCTTGTCTTGCGGTTCCAGTGTCCGGAGGCCGCAGCCGCCTGCACCTCATCGACCTGGGCAGCTGTGAGGCGGCATCTGGCAGGGCCGGGGAGGCTGCTGGGGGTCCCCTGTGTCTGTCCCTGTCGGCCCTGGGCAGCGTCATCTTGGCCCTGGTCAATGGAGCCAAGCATGTGCCGTACCGGTGAGTGTGGGGCCTGGGCAGGTGCCGACCAGGGTGGCCCCTTGGTGACCTGGTAAATCCGTGTCTGGTGTGCCCGGTGCTGCTGTGGTCCCCGGCTCCTCAGGGCTTTGCTCCTCCACCACCTGACAGGCCTTGCTGCCCGTGGGCTGCCTGGGGCACCACGCTGTGCTGGTGCCAGAGCTGGGTGGGAATGAGACTCATCCCAGGGCTGCCCTTGGCCAGCCTTTCCCTAAGTTCCCTTCCCAAACCCTTGGCATCTGAACCGCCTCGACCCCCAGGGACCACAGGCTCACCATGCTGCTGCGTGAGTCCCTGGCCACCGCCGGCTGCCGCACCACCATGATTGCCCACGTGTCGGACGCACCGGCGCAGCACGCGGAGACACTCAGCACCGTGCAGCTCGCCGCCCGCATCCACCGCTTGCGCAGGAAGAAGGCCAAGGTGCTCCCCACGTCCTGCCCACCTCATCCCGGGGCCCTCCCAGCTCCTGTGTCCACTGCAGGCCTCTGCTGGCCTGGTTGGGGCGAGGGCGGGCAGCAGGTAGCCTGGAGCCTGGGTACATGTCCTGTGTGTTCTGGTGTTATGAGACCGTGCCCATGTGGCCCTCCCTGGGGGGTGAGGAGCCCAGCCTGAGATCTCTGGATGCCTTGGGGCTTGCTGTATGCAGCTTGTGGTGGCCTCACTCCAGCCTGCTGCCCCTGCACAGGCCCTGGGGTGCTCAGGAGAGCCGCACCAACTCCACAGGAACTTCTTAGGGACCCATCTCTGGGGCTAGAGGGTGGAGTTAGGGGCACTCTGGGGTTACACGGCCCTTGGTGTGAGTCCGGGCCACTGGCCTGGGCATGCATGCTTGTCTTTTGAGCTTCCCGTTCCCTCCCGGTGTGGGGTAACACCGTTTTCTTTGTAAAGTTGCTAAGAATGGTCACTTAGGTTCTTCCCCTGAGACTCAGTACCGCTCCCAGTGTTTGGCGGGACATGGTCGGTGGTGGCTGCTGTGGTTTTCATCTCAGTGACCACAGCATTGGCCCTGTGCTCTGGGGAGGGTCGGGGAAGCGGGGTTGGGATGGGATGAGTGGGTGTAGGGGAGCCTGGGCTCACCAGCTCCACTTTTCTTTCCCCAGTACGCCTCCAGCTCCTCTGGCGGGGAGAGCTCCTGCGAGGAAGGCCGGGCCCGTCGGCCCCCGCACCTGCGGCCCTTCCACCCACGCACTGTGGCGCTGGACCCCGACCGCATGCCCCCCTGCCTGCCCGGCGACCCCGATTACTCCTCCAGCAGCGAGCAGTCCTGTGACACGGTCATCTACGTGGGGCCTGGTGGAGCAGCGCTGTCAGACCGGGAGCTCACCGACAATGAAGGTCCGCCTGACTTCGTGCCCATCATCCCTGCCCTGAGCCGCCACCGGCCCTCCAAGGGCCCCCGAGACGCAGACCACTTCCGCTGCAGCACCTTCGCGGAGCTGCAGGAGCGGCTGGAATGCATGGACGGCAGTGAGGGTCCCTCAGGAGGTCCAGGTGGCACCGATGGAGCTCAGGCCAGCCCTGCCCGTGGGGGCCGGAAGCCCTCGCCACCGGAGGCTGCGTCCCCCAGGAAGGCCGTGGGCACCCCGATGGCTGCCAGCACCCCTCGAGGCAGCTCTGGCCCAGACACCCCCCAGAGTGCCCCTGAGCCCTGCAAGGCCACTGTCTGGGGTGACCAGAGAGAGGATGGCAGCGCTTGGCCCCAGCTGGTGGTCCCGGAAAAGGCCGCAGTGGTTGGAGGCAGGAGGCCATTGCCCAGCCCGGCTCCCCCACCCCCTCAGTTGCTGGAAGCCTGCAGAGCCCCAGAGGAGCCTGGGGGAGAGGGCACTGATGGAGTGGCACGGACCCCTCCCGTGGGCATGAGTGGGCAGGTGGCTGGGTCCCCGATGATTCCTGGGGCCACCTGCCCCCGCCTGGCTGCTGGCAGTCGCTGTCCGGAGCGGGGCCTGCTCACCACCACGGTGACCCTGCAGCGGCCTGTGGAGCTCAACGGCGAGGACGAGCTGGTGTTCACGGTGGTGGAGGAGCTGTCCCTGGGAGGGCTTGCTGGAGCTGGGCGGCCCACCAGCCTGGCTAGCTTCGACAGCGACTGCTCCCTGCGGGCCTTGGCCTCGGGATCCCGGCCGGTCAGCATCATTAGCAGCATCAACGATGAGTTCGACGCCTATACCTCTCAGGCCCCTGAGGGGGGACCCCTGGAGGGGGCGGCCTGGGCCGGCAGCAGTCACGGCTCCTCCATCAGCTCCTGGCTCAGCGAGGTCAGCATCTGTACTGCCGACAGCCGTGGCCCCACGCCGCAGCCCCCCTTCAGCCCCGACTCGCTGGCAGGGCTTGACCCTGGGGGCCCCCCTGCACTGGATGGTTCCTTGGGGGATGGCAGCTCTGGGTTCCTGGAGCCAGACAGACCTGACAGTCCCGGGCCACCCTGGGGTCCGTGCCCTGGGGAAGTGGCTGCAGTGGCCCCATCCCGACCCAGCAGGGAGCCCCAGGCCGGGCCCTCGCGGGGGGCATCCGCAGCACAGACCATCCACTCCAGCCTCCCCCGGAAACTGAGGACTGCCTCTGCCACCACCCGTGTGGGCTGCACTCGCCCGGGCCAGAGCCCACCTGGCCGTGGAGGCATCTTTGAGGACCCGTGGCTGCTCCGGACAGGGGAGTGTGATGTCCAGGCAGCTTTTGCCGGCAGGGCCCCCAGCCCCACACTTGGCTCCCCCCGGCTGCCTGAGGCCCAGGCGATGCTAGCCTGTGCCCAGAGAGTGGTGGACGGGTGTGAGGTGGCAGCCAGGGCGGCCCGCAGGCCAGAGGCTGTGGCTCGGATCCCACCACTGCGCAGGGGTGCCACCACGCTGGGTGTGACAGTGCCAGCTGCGTCCTGGGGGGATGCTCCGGCAGAGGTGGTGGCCTGCTCGGGCAGCCTGAAGGCCTCCCCCACCAGCAAGAAGAGTCTGGCTCCCAAGGGGGGCTTCCTCCCGAGGCCCAGTGGGGCGGCCCCCCCGGCCCCACCCATGAGAAAGTCCAGCCTGGAGCACAGGAGCAGCCCGGCCTTGGCGCCTCCCCATGCTGTGAACCTGCCACGTGCCGGGGCTGCTGCCGTCCTTCGAGGGGAGGAGGAGCCCAGGCCCGGCAGCCGGGCTGACCACTCTGTCCCCAGGGCCACGTCCAGCCTGAAGGCCCGGGCCAGCAAGGTAGAAGCGGCACATCGTCTTGCCGGCCACGCATCTCTGGAGCGGTACGAAGGCCTGGCGCACAGCAGCAGCAAGGGCCGGGAAGCCCCTGGGCGGCCTCCCCGAGCCGTACCCAAGCTGGGTGTGCCACCGTCCAGCCCCACACACAGTCCAGCTCCTGCCTGTAGGAGCGGCGCAGCCAAGGCTGTGGGGGCCCCCAAGCCCCCTGCAGGTGGAGGCAAGGGCCGTAGCCTAGTGGCTGGCGGGTCGCGGGCTCTGGGGCCTTCGGGGAAGCTGTCGGCGGGTTCTGTGCCGGGCCGGAGCCCTGGCGGCCCTGTGGCCGGTCCCAGAGCAGCCCCACGGGCCGGGCCCAGTGTCGGGGCCAAGGCCGGCCGGGGTACCATCATGGGCACCAAGCAGGCGCTCCGGGCTGCTCACAGCCGCGTCCATGAGCTGTCGGCCAGTGGAGCCCCGGGCCGAGGTGGCTCCTCTTGGGGCTCAGCGGACTCGGACAGCGGCCACGACAGCGGTGTGAATGTTGGGGAGGAGCGGCCACCCCCAGGCCCAGCCTTGCCTTCACCCTACAGCAAGGTGACCGCCCCGCGGCGGCCCCAGCGCTACAGCAGCGGCCATGGCAGTGACAACAGCAGCGTGCTGAGTGGAGAGCTGCCGCCCGCCATGGGCCGCACTGCCCTTTTCCACCACAGTGGTGGCAGTAGCGGCTATGAGAGTCTGCGGCGTGACAGCGAGGCCACTGGCAGCGCCTCCTCTGCCCCTGACTCCATGAGCGAGAGTGGGGCTGCCTCCCCAGGTGCCCGCACCCGCAGCCTCAAGTCCCCCAAGAAGAGGGCCACAGGTAGGTGCGGATGTGCACAGCCCTCTACAGTTGACGGGCTTTCTGTGTGTAGCTGTGCACAGCCCTCCACAGTTTACAGAGCTTTCTGTGTGTAGATGTGCATGGCCCTCTACAGTTTACAGGGCCAGGAGATGCTGGAGAGACGGGCACAGCCTTTGGTCCCAGACGCACACAGCCCTGGACAGTTTACAGACTCGCCTGGGGCTTACTGTGTATGGACGTGCACAGCCCTCTGCAGTTTATAAACACCCCGTGCTTGCCCTTCTGTGGCCCAACCCTGCCCCAGGGGTCAATCCTAGTCTGTGTCAGGGCAAGCACAAGGGCAGCCCTGCACGGGTCGCCAGGCTGGGGCACTGGACTTGGTTTGGGTCCCGGGCCTGGTGCCTTGCTGGCGAGTGTCCAGCTGCCTGGGAGGGCCCCACCAGGGCTGCCCCAAGGGACAGAACTGCTCAGATCATGGCAGGGAAAGTGGGGGCACTCTCGAGAGCTGTGGGCCTGGCTTGGGGTCGGCTCCTTCCCTGCCCTGGGCAGAGCACCAGGCTGAGGATTCCTGGAATGGACCCCTAAGGTCTCCCGGTCAGGACTTGGGCTGGCTCCTCAGCGTCCCCTCAGGGGCTGTGCCTGGACTGGGCCCCGCCTCTGCTCACCCTGTGCCCGGCTCTCTGTTCCAGGTCTGCAGCGGCGGCGCCTCATTCCCGCCCCACTGCCCGACTCTTCTGCCCTGGGCCGCAAGCCCAGCCTCCCCGGGCAGTGGGTGGACCTGCCCCCGCCCCTGGCCGGCTCCCTGAAGGAGCCGTTTGAGATCAAGGTGTATGAGATTGACGACGTGGAGCGCCTTCAGCGGCCCCGCCCCACCCCGAGGGAGGCCCCCACCCAGGTAGGGCTAGGGTCTGTGAGCCCTGGTGGGGAGGCCTGGTCACAGATGGCAGAGTGAGCCATCTGATGGGCTCATCAGGCCTCTGGGGCTGTGGCCGCGCAGCTCCTGACCTCACTTTCTGTCCACAGCCCTCCCAGGACACGAAGGTAAGAGTGGCTCTGCCCAGCCCACGCCTGTGGCAGCTCCGACACTTTCCTTGGGCAGTGGGTGGGTGGCTGGGGGGTCCTGAGGACACTGCTGCTGTCTGCTGGAATTCTCCCCAGTCGTGGGGAGGGTGGTCCTAGAGTGGTGCCAGGACCCAGACAGGCATGGGTGGGCTGCCCCAGGTCCGCCCCCTGCCCGCCCTTGGGGCCCCACTGTGTGCCTGCCAAGGTCTGGCAGGTGAAGGGAGGCGGGGGCCACGGCAGGGCTGCTGGGGGTCTCTGGGGAGAGGGTCCCATGCCTGAGCCCCCCACCCGGCCTGCCTCCCAGGGTCTGGCGTGTGTCAGTACAAGGCTGCGGTTGGTAGAGCGCAGGCAGCAGCGGCTACGGGAGGTGCAGGCCAAGCACGAGCACTTGTGTGAGGAGCTGGCCGAGACCCAGGGCCGGCTGATGCTGGAGCCTGGCCGCTGGCTGGAGCAGTGTGAGTCCCGCCTGCCCACGGACCCAGCCTGGCCCACCATGTGCCCTGACGCCTGCCCTCCCCTCCCCTCCCCGAGCCCCGTTGCTCTCCTGTACCTGCTCTCCCGTACCTCGTGGTGGGAAGGCTGGAAGGCAGGGTCGGCCGGGCCAAGATGCCTTTCCTGGGGACTCTGGGGGGCCAGGTGGCTGCCCCCAGCCTCGGGCCTGACACAGGTGCCCCTCCCCTCTCCTCCCCTTCCCAGTTGAGGTGGACCCGGAGCTGGAGCCTGAGTCGGCCGAGTACCTGGCGGCCCTGGAGCGAGCCACGGCAGCCCTGGAGCAGTGCGTGAACCTGTGCAAGGCGCACGTCATGATGGTCACCTGCTTCGACATCAGCGTTGCAGCCAGTGCTGCCGTCCCGGGGACGCAGGAGGTGGACGTCTGAGGCTGGGCACCAGACAGGATGGGGTGTGCAGGGGGCTGGAGGACGGGACGTGGGATGGAGCGAGGATGTGGTGGGGGCTGTAGGAGGAGGATGCGGAGGGGTTTATGTGCAGGACGGGAGTCTCGGAGAGGAGACGGAGGGCGGGCCGGCCACGCGGTGGACAGAGCGAGGGTGCCAGAGTGACCAGAAGACCGTCACCACCCAACAGCAACGCAAGTGCCTTTGACCTTGATTTGGACTTTTCTCCCTTTTGCATTTGGTGCTACAGACTTGAGACACCAGCAGAAGTTGTGTTCAGCCCGGCCCCGCTGCGCCTGTCTGGCCTGGGGCTGGCGCCGTTGTGTTTGCGTCCGTCTTGCCTTCTTTGCAACCAAGCAGTTTTTGTGGAGCGGGACTTACCTGCATGCCCCAGGGGTCTTTCAGGATTCAGGATGACTTTTCTTTTACAATGGTTTCCTCTCGGCAGAGCCCGGGTTGTGGGGTTCTCAACGCAGATCCATCCCGGGGTCTCTTGGGCAGGGACGGCTGACCTCGAGTCCCCTCCCTTCCCGAGAACCTGCTCTGTCCTGAGGGCGGCTAACAAGGGCTGAGCCCCAGGCACAGGTTGCCTCTTCCACGGCAGGAATTTTTACCAAAACCACAAGCAAAAAACAAAACAGACCACCATGACCAACAACAGAGATGGGGGATAGGGTTTTGTAAAGGTTCTGTTAGGTTCATATTTTTATATCATTTTGCTCATAAATGCGGAATTTGCCGTGGGAATTTGAAGACAAATGATCTATGTTTTTATGGTTTTCTAGGGAAGGTGTCCTGGGGGCCAGGCTGTCTCCAGCTGTGGGAGGCCTGCTCCCTGTGGGGGGCACCCTGAGCAGGGTGGGGGGCCTTGGGAGGCACTTCTTGCCGAGTGCAGACGAGGGATGATCCTGCCAGTGTTTGCGACGTCCCCGCACGACAGGCTCATACTTTCTGAGGATCGTGCATAGTATAGGGCGTCTGAACCTTTGTACAAATGTGTAGATGACATCTTGCTACAGCTTTTATTTGTGAATTAAAGATGCATCGGTGGTTCCCACGGCTACTGAGTTCGTTGGGTGTCGGCAGACCCCTCATGCCCTGGTGTGCTGCCCTCTGAGGGTTCCCGGGTGAGGGGCAGTAAGTGTGGGAAGGATGCATCCATGGGGACCAGGGCTTTGGGTGCTGTGCCAGGGCCTGCGTTGCAGACCCTGTGGGGCCCACGATGCCATGAGGGCCCTTCAGAGAAGGTGGAACACGACAGAGCTGGGATTCAAGCCTGTGCTTCCTCTCTGATCCGCTTTCTTGTTGACTCTGCCCAGATCTTAGGGTCCCGAGGCTGGGGGAGGGAGCCAGGCTTGGGGGCTGGGCTGGTGGGAAACAGCCATGTGTAAGCGGCCCTGGCTCCCTTCTCTCTGGGTTATGCTCTATGGGGAAGTTGAGGCAGGAGTGATGGCAGCATTTCCCTCCCAGAGTGTTATTGCCGTCCCCTGCCCCCTGCCTGTCTTTGCTCATGGGCTCAGGACCCCTGAACCACAGGAGGCCCTTCCCAGAGCAGCCTGGATGGAGGCTGTTCCCTGGAGGACTCAGGCCTGGGTCTGTCTTGGCCCTGGTTTGCTGGGTTTTCCCACGGTGAGAGGCCCCAGACCCTCTGGGGATCCCCAGCCCTTTGAGTGCTCTGAGCTCATGGCCTCACCTGACCTGTACATATGCCCTCTGGGGCCACCTTAGCTGTTGCTCTGGTTGCCTCCTGGCCTCTTTGGCCTCTTTCACATTTGGTAGGCCCCCAACTGAACCAGTTAGCTTCCTTAAGCCTGTTACACTGTCCCCATGCCAGTATCCCCCACCTGCCTGGCCTGCGAAGGTTGCGTCTGGGCACCTGCCCCTTTCTGCAGCTTTGCACTGGCCTCCAGCTGCCCCACTCCACGTTCAATGTGTGAGGTCCTGGCCATGAGGCCTCACCATCCCCTGTGCTGTGATCCCCTGCCCAGTAGCTGGCTGTGCAGCCCCTCCCTCCCTTAGGGACTCCCCCTGTCCCTGGCTAGGTACCCTTCCCTGGCTCCAGGCAGGAAATCGTGGGGTCCCTCCTTGGTGGCTGCCCTAGGCCTCTCCACCATGGCACGTCACACCTTGTGTGGTCTCTGCCTCTCTCCCTGCCTTGATGGGGCTCTTGGTGCCTGATGGGGTCGGAGTCATCACCTTCCCCGATCCTGGGCACAGGGTTGGGGAGACACTGGCTGAAGAAGGAATGAATGAATACGTGAATGACGGCATCCCCTTAAAGAGGCTCCAGCTGTGGAGGAAGCAGGTCCAGGACAGCTGTGGCCGTCTGCAGAGAGTCTCCTGCCGGCCTTGCACTGTGGTCCCACACAGACCCAGTCCTTCGTGTGGCCACAGGGCCCCCCAGGTCAGGCCACAGGGTCATCCACACCCAGGCCCCTAGTGTCCATCACAAGTGGCCCTTTCTGGGATTGGGGTTGCAGGCCGGCCCAGGAGGCCACTGGGGCCCCTGATTCTCCAGCCCCAGCTCTGCTTTTGTTTGAGGCCAGTGCTGCATCCCAGCAGAAACTCAGACTAATGTGGAGGGCTGGGTTGTTCCCAACAAGCCAAGGGCCACGCATGCCGGCTCTGTGCTGGGTTTGGAGACCTCGGCAAAGGGGTCGGGTCGGGGCAGGGTGTCATGGAGCATGGAGTGGGGAGGGGTGATCCTCTCAGGATCCTGCTCTCAGGAGAGCCTGAGAAGCTCACCCACCCCATGTCCTGCAAACCCGGTACAGCTGGCTGTGACCACTGACCTGCACAGAGGCGCTGGCCAGGCACTCCGTCCATGGGATCCAGGACAGTGCTGGGGTCTGAGTGGGACTGGGTGGGTCAGGGTACCTCATCCTCAGGGACCAGGGTGATGCTGGACCCAGGAGGGAGGCTGGGGAGCTGCCCTGGAGCCCAGACCACTGCGGGGTGCTAGGCTCTTGCTCCCTTCTTGCCCTGCACCTGCACACCTGCAGGGGATGGATGGGTGCTGAGGTGTGTCTGCGGGGGTTCCTTTCTCTCATAGAGCACCACTGCCCCGTCCCCATCTCTCTGTCATTGGAGGGGTCCAGAGCCTGCCTCTTGCTGGGGAGCCTCCCTGCCTGGACCCTGGTCCTGCCTGCCTGCTGGGCTGGCCTGGCTGGGGCCTTGGGGATGGTGGCCTTTGGGCAGGTCAGGCTGGGCCCATTTCCCACAGTTCAGGCCTGGCTCTCAGAGGACGGTGCCTGTTTCACTGGACGTGGAATCCACTGTCCTGGGGCCACCCCAGGAGCTGGGGCGGCCTTTCATCTGGGACTTCAAAGCCCTCAGCCCTGTCATTAGGGGCTGGAAAGCTGGCTGGGGAGCGGCCCAAGTAGGAGTCACCCATTTTATGGATGGGAAAGCGGCAGCCGCCCAGGACCCAGCTCTTTGACTAAAGCCAAAGCTAAGGCAGTGGCACCGACGCAGCCTGCGGGGAGCCTCCACCTCCTGCTTCTGGAACCTTTGGGGAAATGGAGGCCCTGAGAGGGCAAGGGCTGCTTGAGCCTCCAACAGGTGTTCCTTGAGAAGTAGGGGGGCAGATTTGGAGCGTACAGGGGCAGGATGGGAGGGGCTTACGGGGGAGGGTCAGGGTCAGCTCAGGCCGGGAGAAGTGGCGGCCCAGGGGGAGCCAGGCAGCTGCTGACGGTGGATGGCCAGGGCTGAGGCGGGTTTGGGGTTAGGGGAGTGGGCGCAGGAAAGGACCTTGCTGGGCTGTGCTGGGCACTGGCAAGGTCCTCCCAGCTGGCGTCTCTTGTAGCCTCTGAGGCTGGCCTGGCATCTGGCCGGCCTGGCATCTGGCCTACCTGTCCCTGCCGTGGGGTGAAGTGCCCACCTGACTCACCCAGTAAGTCCAGGCCTGCCCCGACAGCCCTGCCCAACCCAGCCCTAGCACGGGAGACCACGTTGTGGGATGAGGCAGCCAGGGCAGGGGCCATCAGGCGGCTGAGAGGAGGCCAGAGCTGGGTAGGCTGGGCAGGCCGGTGGGACAGGAACTGAGCTACATGGCCTGGGGGGCCCACAGAACTACTCCACAGCCTGCCCTGCTCCCAGAGTGGTGGTTCCCCAGGGCCCTGCCAGGCTGTCTGCCCCCCTCCTACTGGAGGGCGGCAGGGGGTTTCCCTATTCCAAGGACTGGGATCCGCAGGAGGCGGAAGAGCAGAGGCCCCTCATCCCTGGACTCAGGATCCTCCTACCTGGCTGGGCGTGGCAGGCGTCTGGGAAGTGGCCTGCAGCTTCAGTAGCAGGCGCTGTGGTCCTTCTGTGGTCACCATCCCAGGGACCGCAAGTGCAACCCATGGTGATGGTCGTGGGACAGTGACAGTAGGGTGGTAAGGGAACAGTGGCAGCAATGGCAGTGGGAATCCTGGCGGAGGAGCGTTGGTGGCAGGGAGGCTGGTGGCGGTTGGCCGGGGTGGGGCCATTGGCACAGCAGCAGCAATACTGGGGATGGTGGCAGCAGAGATCGCACCAGCCTGGCCAATGGGGCAGCATCCTGGACCAGAGTGGAGCGACTAGCCCCTCCTGGCCTGCTGGTCCCTTCGCTGCCCTCGGGCCTGGGTTCCTCATGAGACCAGCAGGACGTGGCCCGGGCCTGGCCCTTTCCTGAGCCCTTTTTCCCTGGGAACTGGGAGTGAGGTCACATCAGCAGCCTCCACGGGGTTCTCACTGGGTCCTGAGCCCCAGCAGCTGAACTGGGGGAATGGGGGTGGCCTGGAGTGCCCGAGATGGGAGCCCTAAATAAACAGCAGCGGGGTCATTGCCCGATGATGCCTACGTTTTCCCCGGGTCCTGGGCTGGGAGGGGAGGCTCTGCTAGTCCCCCTGTGTCTCGAGCCTCAGTCTCCCGCTCTGCCGAGGTTCGTGTTCACATGTGCGGGCGTGTGTATGAACATGGCTCAGCCCCTGTCCTCATCTGCTTCCCCTCCCCGGGGCCACCCCCAGCTGCCATGGAATGGACGGTGCTCTGGGCTTTCCGGAAGGGGACCAGTCTCGGGCACCCATGCCATGGTTCCCTGGGAATCGGAGGAGGCCCCTGCCCTGTGATTGCACCCCACGCCCCAGGGCCTGTCTGCAGCCCTGGCAGGAGGGTGATTCCTGGGGTGGAGGCCCTCTGCCTGCTCCTCTCCTGGGAATGAGCCCCGCCCCACGGGGTTGGGGGCCTGGGATGTGCTCCCAGCAAACAGGAAGCCCAGGGTGACTTCTCCCTCCTGACATTGTGTTTACCAAGGCGGGATCCAGGCCCGTTTCCACACAGGAAACCCAGGAGGCTGGAAGAGGCCGGGAAGGAATTCCCTGGGCCGGCCAAGACGCTCCGGCTTCCTGTAGGACAGGCAGGCAGTGTGGGGTGGGGGTGGGGTGGGATGGGGGTAGAGCTGTGGGGTGAGTGGGTTTGGGGTTGAGGGATGGGGTAGAGGTGGGAGTGGGGGTAGAGGTGTGGGGTGGGTGTGGGAGGTATGAGTAGAGGGATGGGGTGGTGGTAGAAGGATGGGATGGGGGTGGAGTAAAAGGATGGTGTGGTAGTGGGGATGGGGATAGGAATGGGGTGTGGGTAGGAATGGGGTGTGGGTAGGAATGGGGTGGGGGGTAGAGGGATGGGGTGGAGTGAGGGTGGGTGTGGGGGGAAGGGGTGGGGGTGGTTGTAGGGGATGGGTGGGGGCAGGGTAGAGGGATGGGGTGGAGTAGAGGGATGGGGTGGGGTGAGGGTTGATGTGGGGGGATGGAGTTGGGGTAGGGATGGAGTCAGAGGGTAGAGAGATGGGGTGGGGTGAGGGTGGGTATGGGGGGATGGGGTAGGGGTAGAGGTGGGGAGTACATGGATGGGGTGGGAGTGGGGGGGATGGGATGGGAGTGATTATAGGGGATTATTGGTGAGGGTGAGGTAGAGGGATGGGGGTGGGGTAGAGGGATGGAGTGGGGTGGGGTAGAGGAATGGGATGGGGTGGGGTGAGGGATGGGGTGGGGTGGAGGGATGGGTAGGGGTGGGGTAGAGGGATGGGGTGGAATAGATGGA